GGAACCAGCCACATTTCAAGTGTTCAATGCGGCTAGTGGCTACTGTATTGGACAGTGTAATAGACATTTCTATTGTCACAGGATGTTCCATCAGACAGGCCTGTCCCAGAAGATCAGACGTCTTTCTCTTTATAACACTCAGCTCTGACTAGTCTTCTGGTGAAGGTTCAACTGTTAGTCTTCCAACATCAAGAAATAGAATCCCACTTCAGCCTTGGGGTTGAAGACGATATGGAGAAAAAAGGAATTATAATCCTTGTTATTCAGATATTTATTTGGAAAAAAAAACAGATGAATTTATCAATTCCACAGTCAAGCTGAGAATCAAATCAAAGACATAATAACTTTTACAACAGTTATAAAGAAAATAAAATACTTAGGAATATACTTAAACAAGAAGGTAAAAGATCTCTACAAAGAGAACTATGAATCACTGAGGAAGGAAATTGCAGATGATGTAAACAAATGCAAAAACATATCATGCTCGTGGATGGGCAGAATCAATATTGTTAAAATGCCCGTACTACCCAAAGTGATTTATAGATTCAATGCAATCGCCATCAAAATACCAACACCATTTTTTGCAGATCTAGAAAAAATAATTCTATGCTTCGTTTGGAACCAGAAAAGAGCCCAAATAGCCAAAGCAACCTTAAGCAAAAGGAACAAATCTGGAGATATCACTTTATCAGACTTTAAGCTATACTACAAGGCTACAGTAACCAAAACAGCATGGTACTGGCACAAAAATAGATACATAGACCAATGGAACAGAACAGAGAATCCAGATATAAAATCATCCACATATAGACATCCAATCTTTGACAAGTAGACAGCAATATACACTAGGGAAAAGAATCCCTATTCAATAAATGGTGCTGGGAAAATTGGAAAGCCACACGTAGAAGATTGAAACAGGATCTATATTAATCTCTCTCACCACTCACAAAAATTAATTCAAGATGGATAACAGGCTTAAACCTAAGACATGAAACCATAAGAATTCCAGAAGAAAATGTTGGAAAAACTCTTCTAGATATCGGCCTAGGCAAATAATTTATGAAGAAGACTCCAAGGGCAATCACAGCAACAACAAAAATAAACGAATGGGACTTGATTAAATTAAAAAGCTTTTACACAGCCAAGGAAACAATCAACAGAGCAAAAAGACAACCTATAGAGTGGGAGAAAATATTCACATGCCATACATCCGATAAAGGGGCAATAACCAGAATCTACAAAGAACTCAAGCAAATCAGCAAGAAAAACTCAAGCAACCCCATTAAAAAAGTGGGCAAAAGACGAACAGAAGCTTCTCAAAAGAAGATAGACTAACGGCCAATAAACATATGAAAAAATGTTCAACGTCTCTAATCATCAGGGAAATGCAAATCAAAACCACAATGACATATCACCTAACCCCAGTGAGAATGGCTTTTATTAAAAAGTCCCAAAACAATAGATGCTGGCATGGATGTGGAGAGCAAGGAATACTTATACACTGTTGGTGGGACTGCAAACTGGGGCAACCTCTATGTAAAATAGTATGGAGATTCCTCGAAGAACTAGAAGTAAACTTACAATTTGATCCAGCAATCCCACTACTGGGTATTTACCCAAAGGAAAAAAAGTAATTTTATCAAAAAGACACTTGCATTAGAATGTTTATTGCAGCACAATTCACAATTGCCAAAATGTGGAATCAACCCAAGTACCCATCAATTCATGAATGGATTAATAAAATGTGGTACATGTACACCATGGAGTGCTACTCAGCCATAAATAAATGAATTAACAGCTTCTGTAAAAGTCTGGGTGGAACTGGAGACCATCCTCCTAAATGAAGTATCACAAGAATGGAAAAACAAACACCACATGTACTATTAAACTGGAATTAACCAATCAGCTTTCATGTGCACAGATGGAGGTAAAATTCAACGGAAATCAGGTGTGTGGTGGGGCATGGGGGGGGATGTGTGAAATCACACCTAAGGGGTACAATCTACGATATCTGGGTGATGGGCACACTTATAACTTTGTCTCAAGCAGTACAAAAGCAATCCACGTAACCAAAACATTTGTATCCCATAATATTCTGGAATTTAAAAAAAAAAAAAAAAACAGATGAAGGATACATGCCATCGAGAAAGGGTATGATGGTTAATTTTATTTATCACCTTACTGGGACACAGAGTGCCCAAATATTTGATTAAACATTATCTATGGGTGTGTCGGTGAGGGTGTTCCTGGATGAAATTAAGATTTGAATCAGTAGACTGAAAAGAGCAGATTGCCCGTCCCCCAATGTGAGTGGGCCTCATCCAATCTATTGAAGGCTTGAATAGGATGAAAGGCTAAGAAAAAATTCTTTGTCTTTGAACCTGTCTTCGAGCTAGGACACTGGTCTTCTCTTGCCTTTGGACTTGGATTGCAACTTACACCATCAGCTCTCTGGGGTCTGAACTTCTCAGCCTCCATAATCACATGATCTGATTCTGTATACTAAATATCTTTACACAAACACACACACACACACACACACACACACACCCTGTTGGTCTGCTTCTCTGAAGAACCTTGAATGATACTAAGGATGTGAGGGGCATGAGGCATAAACTCACACGGCGAAAATACTATCAAATAAGTTGTGGAGACTAAAATCAGATGAAATTAGGTGCAAAGGAGGCATTAAGTTTTTATTTGGATTTTGACAAAAGAACAGGAAATGGATTCATGGAAAAAAAGGGAAGAAAAGTAACCCGAGGAAAAAGTTCATTTAAAAACTGAAAAGAGTTGTGTACCTGTGAAACACCAGCCATTTATGCCCAAGGAAAACAGTCTGTGGCGAACTGTACAAGAAACAAGAGTGATGGAGGAAGCCCCTGTGGGTGGACAAGTAGAGGAAGAACTATCGACCCAGTGTGGAAGCAGTGACTGTGTACCGACTTAACACGGAGGCCAACTTGGACACTGAAATGAACGGTGGGACACGGAGTACGGGGCTCCGGACCCCGCACTCACGAAGTGCATCATCTACACAGCTAGAGCCACCGACCGGGCTTCCAGGATAAAAGACAGGTGATAAAAACAGGTTCCATAAAATATGTTCTTGCTCAATAAATATGTAAACCAAGCATCCTATGTGCAACATACAAGACAAATATTTAACAAAAAAATGCATATCAAAACTTCCACGCCCCCAGATGCCTGAATTGCAGATGGAAGGTCAAGTGAGGTGAAAACCTGAGTGTCCGGAGCAAGCTGAGACGGGGCAGTAAGACTTTCAAGCGCTTCATCCCATGAGTACGTGCATTTGCCGCCTCGATTCATTTTGAACCAACATTAACGAATCATGGGCTACCTAGCACAGGTGGGCTACTCCTTGAACATTTTAGATTTTTTAAATTTATGGATAGCATAAGCTATGGATCAAAGGCCACAGAGCATGGCTCAACATTAAAATCAAAGTTAATGTTAGACCGTTCGTGAAAGAATGCAGGAATGTGTTACAGGGCTTCAGACTGGCCTGAAAAGAACCTTCTGGCTTTCGAGAGTGACGACTTGGTTTTCAGGTTTTGGGGAAAGATGTTCAGATTGGAGGATGAAGACTAAAACCTTTATGATACCACGGTTTTTGGTTTTCTTGTGCGTTACAGAGCCATGGCTTTCATTGAAATACCATTTCTTTTAGAATTCACTGACATTTCTTTCCTGCTGATTGCTGGGTACTACTACTGAATAAAATATTTATCTTTAAGCACACATGAGCATATTTAAATTGCCTCAGATGTGATATTTGGCTATGCGGTTTCTATCAGTTTTTATCAAAATAACCGTCCACTTGTACTATGGCTATCTTCATAAAAACACATGCAAATATATTCTGTTTCAGTGGGTTTTTTACAAAAATGTATTTGCTTTAGTTGGTACTGGGTGGAATTTAGCCACATCAATCACTTTTCTGGTAAATTTTCTGTGTGTGATTGCCTACCACGAACACTGATGCCAGCAGATTTCTTTTTAGCTACTTTTTTCAGGATTAGCAGAATATTGCTGCATCTTCAGAACTGATGATTTCCTACGAGACTCTAATACATCATATACCACATTTGCAAGATAAAATCTATGCCAGTAGTTTAAAATCACTTAAAAATGTGTGTATAAAGAGAAGTACTTAACGAATTTTCCAAATCATTTTCCTATAGAGTTAGAATGTGTCTTAAACCCTTAGATGTTTTTTATGCTACCGTATATAGTACCTATCAAAGATTAGAAATACCAACACTACTCAACTTTGGCAAGGGCATTCTTATACACTGTTGGTAGGAATATAAGTTAGTACACTTTTGTCTACAGGGCAGTTAAGAGTTAATGAGCGATACGCATACTGAAACTTAAAGATGAGAAAAACCTTTAGCCTGGTAATTTCACTTAACGAGAATTTATCCTGGTTGTGGTGTTCATCTCAGTACAATTGACACTTGCAAAAAAATTGGAATAATATGATTAGTAATATTAGGAAACTAACTAAACAAATTATGGTATATCCACATAAAGGAATTCTACATAGCCATTAAAAAGAGTTGTTAGCTATATGGACTCGGTGACTTGGAAAGGTGGTTCCAATACAACCATCTCTGTAAGAATAGCATTTGTTTTAAATTTTACATATGTATGTGCTTGTGTATATATACCCAGAAAAAAACTTAGAAGAATGGATATTAACATGGTTTCTATTAAGGAGATATTTTTCTCTTTTCCTTATCTGAATTTTTAAATTTTTATGTAATAAATATTTATTATTTTTATAGTTATGTTTTCATTTAAATAATGACTACAGAAGCTATTCTAGCCGCCCTGCCTCTATGCACATGGACTTTAAACCAACATGGCAGGAATGGCCCATGCATGCCAAGGTGAATCTGATGACTCCTGTCCCTCCCAAACCTAGTCCCCCAAGCTTAGCTGTCCCCTGCCACACGAGCACGGGTCCTGCTCACCAAACTGTCCTGGATGCAGGGGGTTTCCACAAGCCTCCGGACTCCATTCTCCACGGTCACTCCCAGCCAGTTGAGCGCTGCCCAGCACCAGAGGTAGTCGTATCCTCCATGCCAGTAGCTCACAAACGCAAATGTCATCGCAGTGGAAAACAGTGTCCCCAGCAGGCCGTGCTGGGACCCGCCCACTGGAATGTACACATACCTGGAGAAAGAAGAGGTGGTTAGGAGCCATGGAAAGGGCTGCCCCACACCACTACCTACTCCAGGACTTGGCGCTCTGTGGCATGTTGCTATGGGTAATAAGCAGATCCTTCCCTACCTTTCAAGAGGCCATAGGCCACTCCTTGAACTCTCCATCATGCAAGGAGTTGGCCAAAACCCAAGCCTCCGCTCTGCCGGGCTTTAGATTAAATAAACACACAGGCTAAAGAGCTCTCATCACCAAAGCAAAATAGCACTTACAAGAGGCGAGGCGAGAAATAATGAATTTAGATTTTTCTGGAAAGGATGTACCCAACCCTGGAAACCCAATCACAGTATGGCAATTAAGCTTCTGGCTACACGGGGATACCAACCTTCAAGGCAGGTATGTATTTCACAGCTCAGATTACTCAGTTTATGGCAAACCCATTATTTAAACACAATTGTCAAGATCAGGCCCCTAAACCTCAGGAGCTGGGGTGCAGCAGAGGGGTGCCAAACCCGTTTTCCCCAGTTTTCCAGGCAAGTTGCCCAGAAACAGTAGTGAATTCGCCACTAAAAAAAAGAGCTGTGTTCACAGGGTGGCCAAACTTCCAGCCGAAATGCACAGCCAGCCCCTGGGTATGTTCTTCCTTGCTGAGACAGCTGCCTGAGTACACAGAGACAGGACTACGGTCTTCAATCAGTAGTTTCCTGCTCAAGCTGGACAAAACTCACACCTTGGGTTGTTAGGACCTAGAGAGCTGGGAGCACACCCTTCTTGCAGCAGCCTTTTTAAGAAGCCCATAGGCCTTTGTTTATTGCTGGTCAGTGCTTCTTTGTCCAACTCTCCTCCAGGAAAGAAAAGGAAATCATCTTCTGTCTACACGGTATGATCCAGACACAACCTTAGACACTTTACACGCGTCACTTTGATTCTTTGAAGCACCATATGTTTACTCTTGATGCCCAGCTTCCCAACCAGTTTAGCATTTGTCCTGTTTCTATGTTATTTTAATATTTTAGAGGAAATTTTATTTTGAAAATCACTTTTGAATAGAATACTTTATAGGTACACAAGCCAAAAAACAAAAACTAAAAATAATTTGTCAATGAAGAAATATTTCAAAAGACTATGTGATTGTAATTATTTTTAAATGTCTCCTTGACAAAGACTCTCTCCTTGAGTAAACTTTCATCAGGCTCCTCTAAGCCACGACCTTGGTATCTGTCCTTGTCAGGCCTGCGTCACCCAGTTGTAGCAAGAATACTGCTGAGTCAGTTTAGAGAGAACCCCCTACTTTCAATATCCGATCACACCCCATATCTGGCCAAATACCTGATCACCCACCACTGGTATCTGATCACGCCAGCCTGCCTTCTGCGGGAACCCTGTTAGGTCTGTCCTGTGCCCCAGTGTTTCCTCTTCCTAACTTTCCACCCAGTGACCCCCACCCTGCTCCTTGGCTACATCCCACTTGCCCATGCTGTATTCAGAACGGAGCCCAGTTCTATACTGAGGTCTCTTTTCCCCATTGCAATAGCTCCTGAATAAAACTTGTTTTTACCGCTTTTACTGTCCAGCTCTGGTCTAAGATTCTTCACTCTCACATGTGTTCCAGTTTAGATGATAAATTACATGATCACCTTAGAGAACCCCTTTTATGGGTGAGAAAACTGAAGCTGAGAAGTTAACTTGCCCAAGGTACACAGCTAGGAAGGGGAAAGACCAAAACGTAAATTTGCATCTATGGCACCAAAGTCAATGCTTTTCGTGACATCTCTGGGCTTATTTTGAAAATCCTCGATTTTTCACCCCAATTAGAAACAATTAAACTGGAAGGCATGTGAGAATGTAGCCAATTCAGAAATAAGTAAAGCAAAGGGAATAATTTATCTTGTGTAAAAACAGGACCATCTTGACAATCAAATTAGCAAATAGGTATCAAACATTCACTATAGATGAAGAGCTCTTCCATCTGCTGTTGAGCATTTATTTAGGCCTTCAGGGAATTCCTGGCCTTATGGGAAACAAAGAGACATCGTTCCTACCATAAGGACAGGTATTCGTGGTTGTGAAATGATAGCAAACAAGTCCCATCATTAAGCTACGTGCTATGGTACAAAGTAGACCAGGAGGGTTTAAGAGTGTGGGAGAGAAAGGAGTGAGCAAAGACAAGTGGGGTATGGGAGGCTTCAGGGCCAAAGACCCCACACCTTGGTGAGGCCTAGAGGATGAGTTTTGCTAGGTAAAGGGGAGAAGGTTGGGTGCAGCACTGAGAACACACAACAGGAGCTGGGCAATACTCCAGAAAGGTCTAACAGCCCAGGGCACATTGGGCTTATTCGGTGTCCTTCTGCCCCCTAGTGTCTGTGTGTGGACCACTCCAGCAGCCACAAATAATGGGGCACAGTTCTCTGTCGCCTTCTACCTGCGTGGAGGTAACCACTGCCCCCATCACGAGGCTGCCTTCAAGTTATACAGTTAGTGTCATGTGTAACAATGTTGTGTATCCAGGAAAAAAAAAAAAAAAGGATGATCAAACCAATTGCAAAAGAAAGATAAAGTTTAAGGAAACTTTGCAGATAACTGTTTTAGAAAATAAGTTATTGAATACTTTCCTCACTCAACCTAACCTCATGTTGAGATTTTTATTGTGTTTCAATATATAAAAGTAAGCAACACTGTATATGTCAGAAAACCCAGTATAGAATAAAAACCTCTCATTCGCCACATCAGTGGTACTTGATATTAGATTCAACTCCAAAAAGGACATGTTTTCAAGCTTGTGATGAGGAAGCATCTAGGCTCAAAATTACATGCGTGGCTATTTTAAGCATCTCCTAGAACCAGGCTCTGTTACATTGCCTTTGAGATGACAGCTGACAAAAATATGAGAATTTCTTTTATTCCAGAAATTCATATATGGCAGGTCTCCAAGGATATGGACTGCTGGTTTCCAATCACGAGAGGGTATGGTTTCCAGACTGGAAGGTACAATCCTTTGTTTACTCTTAATCTCTAGAAGGCAGTAGAAGGTGCTTCTTAATCTCTAGAAGGTGTAGTAAGGAGAGTGAACAGGTTATTTTTTCAGATTCTACCAGTCTGTGTCAGTTCCATGATTAATAAAAACAGAAACATGTCTTTTTTTTAGAAAAGCAATAGTATTAAACCACTTACTAAGATCTGATGCACAGTAAATTGATTTCCCGGTGGAAGAAAGCAATCAGCACTGTCTTTCTCAGCAAAGCACAACTAAAAGGATTCCTTCTCATCAGTGACCATGTCAGTTTGAGTCTTCACAAGGCCTGCCCCTGCCTGGCTGGCTTTGCATGGTCACTGCTTATAGAAAATGCTGCTTGAGGGTAACATCCATCTGCAGCCACCTTCTTAATTTAAAAGCATCCCACAGAATCAATGCAACCCCCCAACTCAGGAGGAGGAACCTATATAAAACTTAGATGGTATTGATAACGTTGACCCTTTACTGAGTTCTCATGCACCAGGCATTTTAGGTAAACTATTTCTAATCATTAAAACAACCCTGCAAGGAAACAATGACTAGACCTATTTTACACCGGAGAGGCGACATCTGAACCTAGAACACTGTGGTTTCAGAACCCCCAGGACTGTGTTCCATTGGTGATATGGTTCTCTTCTTTAGTCAAAACTTCAAAGTGGTCTCCACAGGAACATGCACTAGTATTTAATTAACTGGAAAAAAAAAGGAGTCTTGCTCCATAGAATAATGCTTATTATTTACAAAAGAGTTTGAGCCAATGAGCTCTGTTAGCTACTTCTCAGTGCCAGAAGGCCAGAGGTATAACTTCTACTTTTGAACGGCCTCAGTAGTTACCCTCTGTCTCGCAAGCAAAGATGATAGTTGCTTTCTTGACCAGCCTGGCATCCTGCAGATGTCTATGTCAGAAGTGGGGCATAAGAAGTTGGTGGTTAAAAATCAGCCAGGCACAGTGGTGTGTGCCTGTAGTCCCAGCTACTCGGGAGGCTGAGGCAGGAGGATCACTTGAGCCCAGGAGTTTGAGGCTGCAGTGAGCTATGATGATGCCACTGTACTCCAGCCTGGGTGACAGAGCAAGACCCTGTCTCTACCAAAAAAAAAATTGGTTGGGATGGCTGCTGAGTAGGGGTACATGTAGGGAAAAGAAAACATCTGCTCAGAAGAGGGAGAGGGAAGAAAAACTACCTACTGGGTGCAGAGTATACTATTCAGGTGATAGGTACACTAAAAACAAACAAAAAAAAATCACTATATAATTCATCCATGTAACCACAAACCACTTGTAGTCCTAAATCTATCAAAAAAAAAAAAAATCAAAAACCTAGCTCCTTCCTAGCCACTGTGAAAAACAACTCAAGAATATGCCCTGGAGCAGTGGGCAGGTGGGGTGAGAATCCACGTGATAAACACATTAATTGTAAGATCACAACACTTCCTCTTTCCAAGGACCTACCCAACAGCCCCCTGGCTTGCCAGCTTATCCCTGAACTCTCTGAGACTGACTAATCCCGGCCCCCATGAAGGCAAGGAGATGAGGCACCTAAGACACTGACAGGCTTGGCTTTTCCTGCCCCGTGCACTGAGCTGAGGTGGGCTTGCAAGTTCCCGTCTCCATTCACCTACCGCTTGGCAGGGCTGGGGCAGGCCGTTGTTGACATTCTCCTCCCTTATTCCCGACTTAGCTCTCTAAAATCCTGAATAAATGGAGTTTTCATATCTCCATACCTTTAGTCATACATTTTCACATCTAGAAGATGCTCCTCCCTCCTGATTTTCCAACTTCTACTCAGTCTACAAAACCCAGTTGATTTTCTACCTCCTCCAGGAAGTTTCCTTTGAATTTTCCAACTTGCTATTTAACCCAGAGAACCTGCTGTGTGTATCACTGACTGAACAGCTATTTACTAAAATATGTCTTTTCCATTATGCTTGTTATTTTAACTAAATTGTAAGATTCTTTCAGATGGTACTAGATATGTGATGTGCGTGTATGTGTGTGTGT